ATATTATTTCTGCATGATTTGAAATAAGTTTTGCCCAAATGATGGATACAAACCAATTAGACGAACTTTATTCCTCAAAACTGGAATGCCTTGCTTAGGCATACGTACAGAAGGAATTTAAAGTCAAACTTTTGAATTCAATGCATTTGATGATAATATTAACCCTCAATTCGTAGACATCACTCAAAACCCTTTGATCTCTCTAGAAAAAATGAAAACATTTTCCGAAGGGTTTCAGTCAGGTTCATGGGCGGACGAATCAATGATGCTAGTCTTTTTTATACAGTTGGCGCAATTTGATGACGTGGGCTTTCGCATAGTGCGCTGTCTTACCGGAAAATAGTGGAACCCCACCGAAATTCCAAAGTGACTGGAAAAAGGAACTTATCCAAAGTTCGACATACTGTAAATCTTGTTGTTCATTCATCAAAAATGAAATACGTTACCCAATTCAGCCTTCCTAATAAAAAGACATTTTTGTGAATGCGTAGTAGCAGTTAAATCACTTGTTATTATATATTATACTCATCCACTCGGGCTGCTTTGTAGATCGTCGCGGATAGGGCCAAACTAAGACGAAAATACACCCACTACTGTGTCCAGTTCCATTTAGACGAGCTTACAGACTCCAGCGATGAGCTTCTGTGTGCCTGGTCTCTATACCGTAATATATTTTTGGTAAGGTCATCTATTTATTTTAAATAATCTATGGCCATTGAAAGAAACTTTTTTATCATTTGCACGTTGTCAAGGTGGAGAGGGGGGGGGGACGGGATAATTTTTAGATCCATCACTCATCGACCACAGAGGTCAAGTATGTAGTGGTTGTTTTATTCTCTAGTCCGAAAAGTGGGAACTTTGTGGATGGCGAAAAATATCGACGTGGAGAAATACGAGCGGTTAGGCCGAAAACAGATCGACGTAACTGATTAGCCGCCGTTCTCGTTGGTATCCTGGCGTTTATAGAGTATTTCCTTTAGCCAATCCGTTCATTGAGAAAGTAAGTGATGCGTAATTGAAACGAACCACACATGCAGGATATCAGCGACCTTGGAGAAGCTCCTGTTTCCTTCACATCAATCTGGTAATACACGGAAGAGATCATGCATTGACACAGCGAGATTTATTATCGAATTCTTATTGAACCCAGTGACCTAGTTATTATATTGCAGCATACTCACTGACCAGCTGATCTGTTTATTCATTCTATTCTTATCTCGAAAGTATGTTGGTTGCCTTCATAGGTCAGTTGGTTATTTTTCAGTGTGTCCGACTTTGAAGTAGAATGGTCAGCTTTATGGATAGATACATGCGGAAAGAACGCGACACCTCCAGCACCACTAAATTTTTATCTTCTAGAATGCGCCTCTAACCCTTTCAGAGTCGAGCGCTAATTGGAAGACACCGATATTATACGGATAGTCCTATTTAGCTACGTGCCAGATTAGTGAGTTTTCACTATACATTCTTCATTGCTGTCAGACATTGTCAACGATCGTCCGCGACCGCCAATTCAATCGATCAAAATTTACCTATAGACGATTAACCCCTGAGTGCTTGTTCTGCATAGCAGTTTCCAGTCTCTGAAATCACAGTATTTTAGTATAAAGTTCACCTTTAGAAACACTAGTTTTCGACTAGAAGCATTCTGCGAAGACGGATAACTCTAATTTCGCTCAAATAGAGCCTAGCAAACGGTATCGAGGGGAATACGGTTTACACGCTATGACGCATGCACAAATCATCACAGCCAGCCCAGTTGGAGAGATCAACAGTTCACTGACCTAGATTGTGGAGACCAGACGGATGAGTCATGCTGGTAGAGACAACAACAGTCTCTAGACTGCGCACGGATTGCGTCTGGAACTTCAGCTTTTAAATGAGAATTCGAAGGCGGATTGCGCGGTGCGGTATGAGTTCACTGACACACACATGCAGTTGCTTGCATGACGCATAAAATTTGAATTCTTACGACAAAAGAACGAACCGTATCACAATTTACATTAAAGGTCTATCGTGGCCATTACCAGTGTTGATGGCGTCTGTTCATTTTACCGATTGATTTGCTCCAGAATCAAACTCGAATGAACTGATATGCAACCACCACTGGAGGCCTGAAATACTCAACGATGAAACGCAAATTCATAATGGCGAATAACTGATTGGATGCGATTAAACACTCCGGATTAAATGGTAAAATACGCATACTGTGTGATCCATACTACTTACAAGGTTTAGGACAAATTGTACAATCGAGCCCCAAAACTGGACTGGATGTATGAGAGGATAGGCATACGAAAGTATACTCATTCATCAGAAGGACAGATGAGGCGAGGGTGAGCAGAATGGGGAAAACGGCCCTAGGTTCGGAGAACTTGAGGCGTTTCACATCAGATTCCATCGAGAAGTAACTGCTATTCGCCAACCATTTGCTCATTCCTCCCAGGGTTGGGTCAATCATGTACAATATAGTGATCCCTGTTCTAATAGTACGATTTAGGCAAGATATTGGTTACCACCACATCAATGCAAGTACCATCATGTACTCAAAACAACTTGGATGATATTATCACCTAAGAACCTCCATAAAGTTTTCAACTTCCTAAAATTGTTTCTTTTGAAAAGCAAGCATGTGTTAAATTCGAACTACAACACATCCTGTTTCATGTCAGCTTGCGTCACACTGTCAGTAGTGTATTTTCTTTGGAGAGCTGTTAGTGGCAGACCATTCGATACGTTTACATCATAATGCATTATGCTAGCAACTAGATGCAGAGCGATAGCATGCAATGCATACCAAGGTAGTCCAGGGAGCAGAATATTTCTGGAGTTGAAGGCATGTAAACATTAACAACAAAACCAATCGAAAATGTTAAGATCTGGGTAAACCCATTCGATTTTTCACATGCTTTGCAGCTCAGGAGTAAGGGTTTTGGGATCATGCACTGATGATGAGCTTCAATAACAAGAATAAAGCTGCGTCCATGCGCACAAAAAAGAAAATGTAAAAAAAATCACTCTTGATTTGGCACAAAAGAAAAAGCCTTTTTCTCCGGTACTAGAATAAAATCAAACAAGCGCTGCCAAGGAGTACGAGATAGACACTCCCTGCGGCTTGATGCGTTCATAGCTCATAACTTTCAGATGTATCGGGTATTACATGAAATAGGTTTTGAAAAATTTGTGCACCTATGGGCTCCTGGTAGAATATTCAAAGTAGACGACGGTGGTGATGTATAACCGTTTTCCGGTGAAAATCTAAGATTCAGCTGGTCTCGACAGCAATTTTCACAATGATGTGATGTAAAGGGGAACTTACGCTTAAGGTTAACAAAATCCGCCCTAACGAGTGAGACGAAAGTTACTCGATCGGAGCTAACACAGCCACGGGTTACGAGTTGTTCTACAGCAGTTCGCACTGGGCTCACCTCAAGTTCATAAGACAAGAAGCCAATCTATTATATTTCACTACGTAAGGCATTTTTAGCACTGATATTTCAGATGTCTCCGCGCGAATAGACATTAATATCATGTGGAAAAATTACTGATGCGCCGCGTATTCTCAAACAGTCCAGTCAATCAATTTTACTATTGGGGTCTGGAGGATCGATTCTCGAACAGTGATCACAATTGGCTCTTTCGAATCCACGTTCGTGATTTAATTTGGGTGCTTTATCTAGTGAACCAAAAGCTAATTGAGAATCTACCCCGAAAAATGCTCGCATAACAGGCGTATTATCGATTCCCGTCGATCTAAAATGTTTATCGACCAGTTAAACATGAGAACGATAACAAGTTTCGATTTGAGCCAAATGGTTTTCTGATTTCATTGAACCAAAAGCTTTGTGTAGCTGTAACATATTACTGGGCATACTAATCAGAACGAGTTAATCATGTTTAATGCAAACCATTATTAATTTATGAAGCTGTCTCCCTATCCGTGTCTGGTTTCGCAGAAAACGAATTTACACTCGACCGACTGCATGCCGATGGAGTGAGTGAAACCGAATCGATTGCTAATCTGCAGGTCACTCGGCTAGTGTTAGTGTCCGTTTCTGATGCACAGAAATGTTTGAAGTTGCCTAACGAACAGCAAATCACGAAACCCAGCTGGTATCATAATAATAATAAAGTATGCCATGTTGAAATAGACTGCTATGCTGATAAATCTGAGATAGCAAAATGCAGTTGAAACGGAATAGATCTTGTCGACATTCACATCGAAAAGTCTGCCAATTAAACGGGCACCTACTAACACCATACCTTGCTCAAAAGTTTGATCGGCTTAAGCATCAATATCTGATCTAATCCATGACAGCATACAAATAGTTTTGACCCGAACCCGAGTGTTCAGTGAAATCGATTTGGAGGGTGATGGTTTCAGTCTTTTACTGGAAAAGTTGACGCAGCACACAAATCTATCAGAAACGTGTTGGATATTGCATTCTGCATGAATTGTTTTCATCACACAAGGTTCAAAATACATGCTCGTGGCAATTCAATGAGCTTGTTGTGAGCATTTTCAAATAATTTTATCCAACCCCCCAAAGTTTGCCAGGATTCATCCCTCCAAAAATATTTGGGCTGCAATATAAAGTACGGGCAGTCATATAGACGGACGCCTATCAAAGGTGGCCAGCGCATTTCTATGGAGCACATTGAAATCGCAAGCGGATTAAATGCCACTAATGACTGGTGTGCAGTACCCAACGTCCCTTCATTTAGCAAAAGGTGGAACAATTGAAAGACTAGTTGTGATCAAGCGCCTAAACACGAGGGGAACAGAAAAAAATAGGAGGTAAGTGAACTGAAAGTCATTTTTTGCGCAGTATAACCTAACCTCACTATACAATCTGATATATATATATATATATATATTGAAGAAAGAGGAATAAAACAAAGAAGGTATATCTAAAGATTTGCCTCCGTTTGTGATATAAGTGGTTAGTAGAGGAATAGTAGATATCAAAGAGCGGTCGGATGGATAGCAAAGAAGAACATTAACTGTTCGCACCATCTAATGGAGCTGACGCAGTAGTATCCGGCTGTCCGGCATATTCATCACCATCGTCTGAGAAGATCACTTCCATTTTGGAACACAACTGCACGGCTGGATGTGAGCTCGGATCTTCGGGGACGTTTTTGCTTGTATTTGGTCGCAACAGAAACTCTTTTAATTCGTCCGATGTGACATTAAAGTGATAACAGATGGCGATCAATGGCAAACGGGGATTGGCAAGGTGGGCAAATTCACAGGAAACATGTGAATCAGCTTGATGCAGGGAACCGAATTCGGGTAACGGCGAGGTATTATGCAATCCCGGAACACTGGTTCTATGTCTGACAGCAGCATACGCGTCCAGTGAGGTGGGGTCAAAAGCCAGACCGATGTGGCACACGCCACAGTTCCGCATCACAGAGTTTGCCGAATTTTTCGGAAAATTGGCGCTTTTGTGAGAGTGAAATGCCAAGAGTCGTAACATTTGCCGAATCCAACCACCATGACTGACCTAAAAAGTAGAAATGAGAAATACTTGGCTGAACCTGAAAAAAACTGATTTCAAACGAAAGCAGAGTGTGCATAGAGTTGAACAGTTAGCTAACCAAAACGATGGAGGGAAACTATATTGTTCCACTGCAACAATCAAGATGCATAGGAATGATGACCAAACACGCTCCACCGATTTCTGTTTGCCTGAGATGAGAAAATTAAGATTTATAACTCAGCGAATATGTATGCGGTGTTAACGCTCATGCATTAGCATAATTGAGGGGGGTTGTTACAATTCATGCAAATGAGCGACCTGGGACAGAAATTCATTCGGATATTCTGAGGATCAGATTCATGGCAAGAAAAGCTAGTATAAATGACCGTATTGAGGTACACCACCATCTTAGTTCAGACTTCTGGTAAGCATTATTCCCACAATATTACAGTATTGATTGTGCAGCCCGTTCTGCACAAATCGTGGGTGCTATTAGAACGGTTTAGACCCCAATGTTAGACAAAAAATTGAACACTATACTAGCGGATGACTCCATGTAGTTTCCTTTCATCAATAAAGACAGGTGGGGATCGCAGACGAAGTGAAGGGTTCAAACTCGGATAGTTAATACTGTATGGAAAATTCAGTATAAGCTTGTGTATCAGGCAGATCATAACCATGAGTGACTAACCGAATAACGAAACCGGTGGAATGATCACATGAACTGGCAGTACATACTAATCGGATTGTGCACACGACAGAACGAGCTTCGTTTTTCAGTATCAGCACAATAAAAACAACAGACGTGCATGGGTCAGTTAAAAACAGGTCATATACAGTCGTAGGCAGTTCATCCATTCACCGAAATTAATAACGCTCCTGTCGATTTCCAATTGCACAAACACAAACGTGCGTTTCAAAACTTTACCTTACTGATTGTTTGTATGGGGAACCCACGGCTTTTTCATCTATACGCTGCTCTGTATGAACTGAATAGAGAGAACCTCCATGGTTTTCTTATGAGAATCAGCTAAAAACGGTCTTGTTTGCGCTAGCTGGTACCTAATGAGTTTCCGCTTCCCTAGCAGATTATTTTGGACCGCTTTCTTGTTTATCAGTTTGAACGTCCCTTGGACGAGCACAACCACTTCCGTTCTGTTTCGGCACGTGTATTCATTGCTGGTTTGTGACGAAGGAACACAAATATACGTGGGCACGTTTCACCTTTCTGCAGAATTTGGCTGAAATTTATAGGAGGGGAGGTTTTATTCCTTGCAAAACTGCTAGCTCATACGTAATATGTATTGTCTAGTATTTCACCTTTTTTAGGGACTGAGACAGTATGTTTAACGAATTATAATACAAGAATCATTGTGACGACGGGACCGATCCATGATTTGTTTTGTAGGCACGTTACAACCAAGTTGCAAAAGCAAGTTTTACTGTGGATTCACAATCGGAGCATTTCGCTAACCAAAGTTTGGTCCTTAAGATGTGGGGATAGGTCGGCGTGTAAAAGCCACAGTTAAATCTTCGAGACATGATCTATACGTTCAAACAGACCGGTTAAGCCCGATACTCAATCAAACCTGTGAACGTGGCGACAAAGATGTATCGGAGCGGTCAGAATGCTTAGTTCGATAGTTTTGAGACAACGGGTTACCCGATTGGATTGGATACAGAAGGCTCATCAACCCGATTGTTGATTTCCTCCGATTATCCAGAACCAGTGTGCCACATACCCGGGTATCGTGGTGACGGTTATAATTTTGCGATTCTACCAGTAAAACTGTATTATATTACCGGCAATTTTTCGATTAGCATCGTTACACCTTTCTGACTGTCTCATGCCATAGCACATTTCAGTCACATTTCTCAATCATATTGCGAAAACCGTTTTTCATGCAGTTTGCTGAAGAGGATTAGGTAGAGATTACGATGAGCAGAGTTGTACGCTATCTGGTGTGTTTCTGAGTCGGAGACTGGTCATTTATGTAGCTAATTGTCACGAGGTGAACATCGCTTAACTGAATGAGTAGTCTGGTACGCTGAACGATGAGGTTTGGGAGCGTGACTGGTGTTCGCTTGACAAACGATTTCTCTGCACCCAAAAAGCCACGCATGTGACGTTTACAAATCCGACTCGCTATCAGTGTTTGTGCTACAGACAAAATTTGAATGTACAACTTCTTCGAAGAAGGTATCATCTGTAGGATACACTGGAGATTCGTAACGGGTTTCTCAAGGAAACTGACTTATTCTTACGTAGTGGAAAGTCACTTAAAAGTCAAAGTAAATTAGTATTCTTTTTGTGCACACAATTTTGTGTGAAACAGTGGATAGAGTGAACCCTATAGTCGCGAAGAGCTGCTATTTTGTGATGGAAACCGGCAACCTAAGCCCCGGGACTTGAAATGACGAACCACATAAGGCCCCACTAAGTCAGGCGTGGTACCGACCAGGACGACAGCAAAGCTGCCTACCACCAAAGTTAGGTGGACCATGCTTCGGACCACAAGGTCTAAAGCATGTCTGTGGTAGCGACTAAACTACTAGGCCAACACCACCAATGTTGGCTCATCAATTTTCTCACCTGATTGCTTCCGAGCCAACTGCAATCGTTTAAATAAAATTAGTGATTTCGCTGATCCGAAAGGTGGTTCATCCTAACTTAGTATCGAATATTCAATATAGCAGCCAATAGATTAGCAGTTTATCCTTATGACAGAGCGACCCTGAGGACCGTCTGTTTAATGATAGTAGCAGTCAACTAATAGCTTCTTTTTATTTATTGAACACAATGCACGGGAAAATGGGAACGACTTCTGAAGACCGTATTTAACAGCTGACTACTTTAACGCTTTGCAGTAGTTAATTTAAATAAAGCTCACCGTTGACACGGGAATGTGCGCTTTTCTCCACGAACGTTCTTTCACCTATGGGCATATCTGTTGTCCGAAAAAATGCTATGAAACAAGTCAGATAATGTAACCCAAGCAAGCTAATAGAAAGACAAACACGCATCCAATTCATTCCCAAGGCGTCTACAGTTATTCTTGGTTATCACCAGAACCCCTGCAACGGCCGAATAATCATTTGGAACAACCCATTTTCTGGAGGCCAGTTGCAACCGACCAAAGGCAGTCACGAGGAAAATTTTGGCTGGTGGTCCCAAGCAGATCTTTGATAAGCAGCAGTCGAACAATTTTGGCTTTCAAACACTATTAATCAATATACCGCGTCTGTAATTACACCCTTATTTTTTCGTTACATGTACTTTTAGTTATTCATTAAACGAATCATCTCATTATTGTTTAAACACACTCAAATCGATGTTTCATTTGAAACCATATCAATATTTATACGTGATACCCATCCCGTTTGGTTCATTTTTATCTGCTATGCATTAAGGGTTCGGAACCGTGGTAAATAGAATTACACAGATCGAAGCATGCAAATCGAAGCAGTCAAGTTACCTTTTCATGAAAGATTCTCGACCGGTGGTCAAGCAGTTCCCCAGTATGTTTGCATCTTCTGCAGTCAAAATATTAAATGCATTTATTTGCTACCGGAAGCCCTACTTCGCTTTGAATACTGTGAGAATCCACAAACCGCTTTCTCGTGTTATTCAAACAACGCAAGTAGAACCTAACACTAAGAACGACGTGAAATCACCACGTAACCCTGTGGGTCTAAACTACAGTAGTGTTTCCCGTAATTATTTAACCTTCGCTTATTTTTTTTCTACTTAGAATCAGTTATTTCAATCAGCAGCACTAACGGACGTTAAAAAATTCAATACTTTATTTCTATCTTAAGGACATTGGGATTTCCCAGAAGGGTGACAAACAATCCGTCAATA